AGAAGGAAGACTTTTCCGATTTCTCCGCCATCGATCCAAAACATCCGTCACTTGTTGCTCTGACTGAACCACAAGATTTTAGCGCTGCGTCATATATAATTTGGTGAGAGGTGTATGCTGTTGCGCGGTAGCGCCACAATAATATCCAACGAAAGTGTTGCACGAATGAACCGCCACTGTTCTAAATCGTGCTTTCCGTTCTCTTGAACATTGTTAGAAGGATGTTCTGGCACGCCATGTATGAATTGTGGTTAGGCGATCTTGGTTGCTGTGCCCCTCTTCGGTGTTTGTTTTTGATTATCGCGCGCTCCAAGGGACATCAGGATAGATGCGTATCCTACAGGATCCCTGTTTTAGCGCGCTTGTGGAGAGCGAAACGTTTTCTACGTCGGTGGAGAATTCTAGTGTTACTCCGCTAAGTCTGGGTTCTGCATAGTGTGGCGACTTCGGATGACAGGTACTTCGTAATTGGTACATGGGTTTGGTTTTGACACTCACCAGCACGCACAAGGAGTTACATTGGTCTTGTTCCTCTCTTAACTTCCCCCGCAATGCGATGGCGGTGGATTCGGGGACATTTGAGCATACGATAGGTTGAACACTATGGTTGGATCCCTTTTTCGTTTATCTAATACGTTGGGTAATCGTTTGTTTTGGCCTGCTGACATGTGTTGATTGTTTACTGTTTGTCCCTCTGTACGCGCTAACGGTGTTTACAACATAAGCTGCTGCAACGGCGGCCTCCCAGGTGACCTTTGCAGCAATCCCTGTATATGTAACTAATGTTCAGGGGGTCTTGGTCTCTACAAGAGACATTTGATTTTCAGGTACCGAGGGTTGGTCTTCAGCTGCTTCATCCTTCTTAATGCTAGATGTCAGGTCTAGCGAAATTTAGTAAGCCAGACGTTTCGATCTTCGTTGCCAAGAAGACCGCTTGCTTCGCCTAGGTACGGTCAGTTTTCCTTCGGCGTTCTACCAAAGCTGGAGAAGAAAACGGAGATGGGGACTTGGATGATTGTGTTTCAGTGGATGTAGATTGTGCAAAATTCCGTTGCTTTGAAGCTAATACACCTCCGTGTTACATACTCACTTCCATGGAAGTAACCTTATCCCACATCCTCTGCTCAGCTTCTGTGGTTACCCGGTCGCACTTCTGGACTAGGATAAGCAAACACTTAACGAGTAGGGCGGTTGAGCACGCAGTACCGAACCAAGGCGCACATTGTGGGTTATTTCGCACTCCCACCTGTTGTTGGGACACGTTGGTACATTTCGGATGATATCATTTCAAACAGTGCGAGCAAGCCAAACCTATCTTAACTAATCGATGACATTCTTCCAACCCGCAAATATGTTTTGCTTGGAGCCTTTTCGGATTCACATTTCTGCTATTCAACGTGCTTGTCGTTACCTAACTCAGTGGATTGTTTGCCGCGCTGCACTTTTCCAGCTTTGAGAGCTGCGTACATCGGTTGGGTGGGCGTGGTGATTGCAAGGTAAAAGGAGTGGTCGGCGTGGACGTGTGGTCCGACTGATGGGTTATGCAGCACACTGGCTGACCAGGTCACAAGGAATGACGAGTGAGTGGAATCCTCTAACGGAATCTGAACACAGCGCTGAACACAGACTGAAGAGATAACAAATTCTTCATAGCTGCTTTGAGAAACAACGGTTTGGAATAAGCTTAGGCTTTTCGGACTGCCGCAAGAATTCTGTATCGAATGGTGTCACACAGCAAGGCTTTCGGCTCAGTGTGATTGCGTCATCCGTTTGCGCCTTATCACGGATGACAGTGAAAACGGTTAGTAATGGCATGGACTTTGAGCGTAGAATATAACTCCACGTATGATAGCTCACTGTGTAGTTCTGGTTGACCTGGCTCGCATGAGCGTACAGTGACAACGGTGCGAGAAGATGGAGAGAGATAAAGAGGAACAATCCAAAGGAACCAGGTGCACGCACGTCTCGCGTGTGGGTTGATGACCTTGATGAGCGGCTTCTTGTTCTGTTGGATCAACGGGTAGTAGAGGAACGGCGTCATGTCGTTATCGCTTTCCGAAGTTGGACTATTTGTTTAGCCAAATCATCCACACTGTCGTTAATAGAGTTTGGTAAAGTGTGCGTTTCAACGGCGTGAATGTCAGTTGTGTTAGGCTGGGTTTCTAAAATGTTGTCGGCGACACTAGCGAGTTGCAGCAGTGGAACACTGTCAGCGTTGCTAGCTAAGATAGCCTATGCTATCGTAGCTAAACGCTACCGAAATAGCTGCTTAAATAACTCGTCATCCAGTTTGTGATCGCCTAATGCACTGTGAAGAGGTCTTAGAAACTGGGAAGGTGTGCGTCCGTCAAGTAATTCGCTGCTAATCAATTATTCAATTCGCTTGTGCTCAAAAACGGCGCTTCGTTGGATGACTGTATGTTTAAGCTGCGAATAAGGCTTAGCGTCATCCGGTGACGACAAAATATCTCGTAGGTCAGCAACGATCTATGGTGGCAATACGGCAAGCATGGTCTGTTCGTGTGTGATATTACAAAGCGTAAAATGTGCACGTAACGCAGTAACACATTTCTGTGGGTCATGGTGCCAGAAAGGCGGAAAATCTACTGAAAGTAGATTAATAGTTGGTAGTGAGGAGTGTGGGAAATCAGTCTGGCGTGATGGAACAGACATAGTGTTCTAAGTGAACAATAAGTAGCTAAATGTCTAAGAGGGATAATGTCTCAACTCAGGGTAACCAAATATTAGTACCTATTAAGTGTGACTGGTTACGATATCAGAAGCCTAGGCACTAATGTAAATAATGATATTGTACACGTAGTAATGCTATATATACAAGAGAGAGACTTAACACATGTGCTTGCATGATGGTTGTGTCCCACTGATTGCAATGCGTTGCCACCGGATCCGTCGGCTTGAGCACGTGGAAGCGCACACGTCATATGTCTGCTCGTTCCGGTGAGGTTGTGACTTGATGCCACAGACCTGTCAATGAATGCGAGCTAAATTGCATTCTCAGTGGTCACGTGCTTCGACTCTGTCGTGGTAACGCACAGAGGGCAAAATGCTGTTTTAACGTATCGCGTATGTTACGTGGCTTGTGGTTAAGTTTTGTAATGCAGGTTAGGTGAAAAGCGTGCAGTTCCACGAACATGTTTTTTGATTGGCAAACGGAACTAACACTATCACCCTACCAATTTGAAGAGAAATGACGCACAAATTTGACTTGTATTAATTCCCCATGTATGCTGCGTTGTGGGACGAAAACTTGTCTGATATACACCCGCAAGTGTAAGAGCTTGGTTTAACCATAGTTGCGTGCAGTAAAGTTTGTGAGTTTTTGCCGCTTCGTTCTTGTTGTAGTATCAGATACTGTGGGTGTAAAGATGTCCTTAGGTCATTTTTAATTCCGATTCCGACAGGGTATAGATACGCACTAGGAAAATGTATTTATTACCGATATGATCGAATGAAAGTGCCATCTCAGTTGATCTATTTGCTTGTAGAATTCTTTTTTGTTCTGGCATCACTGTTTGCGGCTGAACTTTGAAGTAAATCACACAGCTGATTGAGACTATTTGTGTCTGGTTAGCACTGAGCCACTCGTTTTTAATTTTTATATGGGCAATTTTATGGTCTATTTAGGTTTCTTAGGAGTTGATACCGAACAACTCCATGACATCCTTATTCAGATAGGTCATCCCTCCATCCTGGTTACCACAACTAGTCGTGCAGTTAATGAGCCTTTACGGTTTGTGGTAATAAGAAACACCTATGGTGGCCTGCTGCAGAGGCTAGTTTACTCTCGCTAGTTGCAGGTAACCACGATCAGGTTTGCGTAATATCTTCTGCAGGATGTGTTCCCCTAGCAGAAAAATACTTTACTTCAGAGAACTTGTAAGAATTTGCTTTGGGTTTATTGCCTCAGACTGAAACGACTAGCGTGCTATGCTCATATCATCTGAACTATCTGAAAACTCCTTAGCCACTTGCTGGAAGTTTATGACGGCTACATAATCAAGGTCCAAAGTGCACTTAAGTAAGAAGTGTGGCCCTAGGACTGAGCATTGCAGTACAACGTGCGTACTTGTGTGTGTTAGTTGTCGGCCCGGAGTTACCCCTTAGAAAAGCTAGGTGAACAAGCGAAGTGGTTGAAGGCAATAAATAAGCTTCCAGATCGGCGGAGCTGTAGCCTCTCAGGTACGTCCCCAGGTTGCGGATTGGTGAATGCCTTCCTTGTGGAGGTAACTGCGAATAAATCTCGTTTGCCTTGCAGACGAGATAAATAAGCAGTCACGGACAATTAGTAGCAGCGTCTCAGAGCGTGGGGCGTTCTGGGCTGGTCACTTGCTTCTACATCAAATACCGCAAGAGCTCATACGGGGCTGTGTCAAAGCCAATGTGACCGGCTATAGGGTCACTGACCACTCACTTCTGTGACCAGAGGTGAGTACTTAACGGAGAGCGGATGAACAACCACGTTGGTCACCGGCTTCTCTGTGGATTGCTACTGAACGCAAAGAAGACGAATGAGCTACTCAGATGTCAAGGTTTCCGTTAAGAGCCCCGCTGTCTTGCGGGTCAGGTCTTTATAACCAAAGGCTCGGAGTGGGGTACCTTAAGTCAACCCACTTCCTCGGCCTGGGCAACCGGGAAGATCTCTGCCCACAGGACACTTTAACTTAGTAAACCTTCCAAACACTTCACTGTCTACCTGTTTTCCCCTTGTTGTTGTTGTCGTTGTTGTTTTTGTTTTTGTTGTTAACTATGTGTTGTGGCACTGCCAATTGTGTATTGGTCAGGTGTTGAATAATATGATATCTAGGTCAGCCAAAGGATGCTGCTCCATCCTTAAGCAGCATTCTTGCACTTATCGGCTTTTAGCTAGGAAGACGTGGAGTTGCCAAATTATATGTGCATTGCTCTGTGCCTCCTCGATCAGCTTGTGAAGGTTTCTATCATATCCATGTGATATAATTGTCAATTTTTCGGATTTACAGAATGCGATTATGCGAGGTAAACTGGAAGGATTTACCGACAGAATACCAGAGGTGAGTAACGTTTGCCTGTTGGCAGTAACCTTCATACATTGCCAAAGGTCACTCACTTTCATTCGGCGCAAAAGCGTGTTCCATAACGCTTTTGCGAACTACCTGGGTTGCGTGGATACTTTTGAGCCTTAACAAATCGAACGAGCTACAGAATATATAATGCTTTCATTTTTTTAACTTAACCACCTTTAAGCGCAACACACTTGTTCTAGCAGTGCTGAAGCGCCCTTATCCCAGTGGAAAACAACTCTCTAGATTACGACTTTAAAAACGCTTCTGCGGTTTCGATGACTTCATTGTCGTTGAGCATACGTTTGCCAGCTAAACTATAATTAGTTTTGGAAATAGTTGGAATTCAGAGGGAGCGAGATCTGGTGAATAGCATGAGTGGGGAAGAAGCTGGCAGCCGCAATCGTGAATTGTTTTCTAAGCAATGGAAAAGGTGTAGGAGGAGCATTATCGTGGTGGAAAGCAACCTCTATCGTCAACATATCTGGCCTCTTTTCTCGAATAATTTCTCTGAGACGTTTCAGAAGCTCACAGTAATCTTTCCCAGTAATGGTATCGACTCTTTCAAAGAAATCAATCATTACCACACTTTGGGAATTGCACTAAACGGATGATTCACCTTGCCAACCGACGGTGTGACCTTGGTTTTCTTTGACGTAGAGGATGCACGCATCTACTGCTTTGATTGTTCTTTTCTTTCTGGTTGTAAGTAGCAAATCCAGCACTCATCCATAGTGAGGAATCGTTCAAGAAAATAATCTGCATCTACCTCGAACGATGCCAAACACTTTATTGTTTGCACATATCTTATTCATTTTTGTTCAAAAGACGTGGCACTCATCGAGTAGAAAATTTTGAGTAGGCTAACTGCGTCTGGATAGTAGCTGCTTGATCCTGTGAGATGCCCAACTTCCCTACTACCTGACAAGTCGTTAATCGGCGACCTTGCATATCCATTACTAAGTCAAGATTTTCTTTGGTTGTGGAGGTTGAGGTTCTCCCTGACTCCGGCTCATCTTCAATGCACTTCAATACCCTCCTTGCCGCGCTCATACTCTTAAACCAAACTTTTAACTGTGAAGGGGCATTGTCATACAGTGTATTAGGCATATCTTGGTGGATTTCAGATTGTGACACTCCTCTGTGATGGAAATTTGTGATCACTGCACGTTGCTCCATCTTCCTCATTTTCAACAGATTGCAGACTTGGTTTAATTCAAGAATCTGCTGAAATGAAAGTAAAAGAGCTAGCAATATGGATTTGCATAAAGTGAATAAGGAAAAGTGTAAGATTATAAAAAAGGTTGTTTGGCTTGCCTTGCTATCTGGTTTCTGTGCCAGGCTCAACACGTTTTATCTAACCCATGTATTGAAGGTCGATAATATTCGCATCATTGATAAGTAAATCGAGACTTATCTCATTTAAGCACTTTGGAATGAATTTTAAGAATTAATGTTGGGATTGCAGTTCAAAAGCTTAATAGATGCACTTTGTTAACTCATAATTTAACTTGTGTTTAACACAAAACGGTTATATCTTTAAACGATGTCTTGGTCACAGTGTAGTATCCTGCGAATGCTACAGTCTTAGCAACATCAGCAACGTTTGTAGTCGACTGTTTCAAGGTCAGGATTTATCAGACTAGACTGGATGAAGGGCACATGATGCTTCTTGGCTGTGGACTGCCAACATGTTAACCTTTCCTCGGTTACTTTCAGCTGGTCAGCAAATGTTTATTGACGAAAGGGTTTTCATTCACTCATCAAACGGTATCAGTTTAGGAATGTAGCTAATTTATGTGCCGTTTGTCGGTGATTACTGCGCGGTCACGTTCGTCCTTAATTTTAACTCGGGAATAAGCTGGTAATGTCAGATCACGCGTTTCCGCAGTATGCGGTCACGTGAAGGAGCACGAGGCTGCTAGTGGCAATCACCATCATTTCGCACGGTAAGCGGTCCAGCGCACGTGTGATATAGCTGCCCGCATAAGTGGCCGATGACCACGATAATCATTTATATTTTGATGAATAGATTGATCTATGGTCAAGGTTATTCGGACGAACAATCATTAGTTGATAGGTAGGTAAGGCCACAGAGGCTAAGCGTGTGAGCTTGTCACTTGTACATTAATCCCGACAGTCAGTCATCAAAGCCGGACACTACAACCAATCCAGGAGAAGTAATTGTGAGGGTGCTATGCCATTCTGGGAATTCCAGTGGTATACCACTTACTAACAGTTTGCCAATCTTAAGGCTGAACCTACAAGCCTTACGAACTGTATGAGCGAATAAATCTTCGGGCACAAGAAGTTCCTACAGATAGATATTTACAACAAACGAGAATGGAGATCTAATCAGCCGTAAAATTTAGTGACTCAGGCATGTCGAGTTACTCTTAGTTGTACCATCGGATCGCAATATTCAGCACAGAAACGATGCGCTCTAGTGAACGCAGTAACAACAGGGATGTAGCAAAGCACTGTTACTAATGCCTCAGACCAAACACAAAACTGCTCCCATATTACCCGTGGATGCAGCAAAAGATGTATTACACGTTTAAAAAACTGCGGAGTCCCTGCTCTTAACCTTCCCGAAGAGAGCGAGTCCTTAAAGGGAAATGATGATGGGAATAAGTACATAGAAATGAATAGTCTGTCAAGTATGCAGTCTTTGTATTAAGCACTCTTAATTGTGTCGGACGAACAGTAAACTTTCCTAGTTTCCTAGATTTACAGCCAACTAATCACCCCGTAAAAGTTGGGAAAACTCATATAAACTACCGTAAAAAAACATAGTCGGATTGCGACCTCGTTTTAGCCTCGTGACCCAGTAATTAGTTGATAGGATTGTGGTGGCCCGTCTGGTCACCTTAGTCTGGCAGCCACAATAACAACACCAGAACAAAATTGATGGACTATTGTGTTCTTGTTACTAGGAGCAAAACATACTTACTCACCTACACATTCAACTCGCATTTATCTCAAGACCCAAACAACTAACCACCTTAATGTCTCTCCTGTCCTCTTTCACCAATCTACTTTCTTTCGTTCATTAAAAATCTCTCTACCACAACCATTTCTATTCTACTCACCTCAAATCAATACACACGCTACACCCCCACTTATACCCCCCCATCAATTCCTTCCTCTTCTATTTTTCTTCCTCTCTTCCTTCTAACCTCCCTAATCTGCTTTCTTTTTCTAAATCGTCCTCCCTTACCATACATAATATTAAATCTAACGACAAACACTTTCCTTGTCCGTAAAATTCTCTAGTTTCACTTCCTCTATTTCTTTCTCACTTTCTTTCATCCTATCTTCTCTTCCCCTTAAAAATCCTCCTACATCACACGTCTTCTCTTATCTCTTCATCTTCTACATACATTCTCTAGATACCCCAAAAACAACCCCACACCTTCTATAACACAATCATATTCTTTCTTACACTTACACTCGACATACCCACAACTCCACCACCCCCCTTCCCTCTTATTCTTCCCCTTTAAACTCTTCCCCCGCTAATCATTTCTTCTCTCTCTTCTATCCCTATTCATCCGACGCAAACCAAAAAACCACCAAATCTTCTTTCCTACGTACTATTTCTCTATCTAACTTCCCATTCACTACTACTTCTTTCCTTTCTACACGTTTCCTTCCTCTAACCCCTTTCTCTCTGTTCTCATTCTTACCCAAACACCTCTCCCCCTCAGCATACGCATCTCAACCACCACCAATTCCTCACAATATCCATTTCTTTTCTTCCATTTCTAAACTATTACAACAACAAATCGCATACGATACACAACCAAAAAAATCCTCAATCCATTCTACCACTTCCTCTCAACACTTGCCCTCCAAACTTCTCCCCGTCAATATTCCCACCACTTATAAACAAACATCACACTCATTAACACTTTTTCTTCTCCCTCTCTAATAGCACCCACCACCTACCAAAACTAACACATTCGTTTTCTTCCCTCGACCAACACATACCTCTCTATTAATACTACCCCCAATCCCCACTACGGGCCCTTTTTTTTTCTTTTCTCAGCCTATTCTCTTTTTCTAAATCTACTTTCTACTTCTTTCTTCTGTCTTTCTATCCTCGTTTCTACCCAACGCACCCAACTCCACTCCGTAAGCTCCACGGCCTCAATCTCACCATTCTACACCCACCATTTCGCCTCCCTTTCTCTACCTCTTTTACTTTCCTATCCTCCCACCCAACTATTCCTTTCTTTCTTTTCTTAGACTCTACCTTTCTAACCCTGTTTCCAACCACTAACAACCAAACTGGAACCTCTCCTTTTGCATTTCCTTTACTCTTCCCCTCCTACATTCTAACTAATCCATGTTCCTTACAAATTCTAATGTAAATACTTCCTATTATCTCAGCACTGTTCGTACTCTTCACTCCTTCCACGAATATATTTCTTCTCCATACCGATATTTCACCCTTTCTATTACATACATTCTTTTTCCATTCTGTACATGTCTGTCGTCATCCTCTTTCTCTACCCTATTTCATACCCACACCCCCCCCCCCCCCTTCTCTTCCTAACACCCTCCAATCTCACAAAACCACAAACAACCAACAACCATTCTCAAAATTCCTTAAAACTGCAAACACATTCACAGTATCATTTTTCTCCCCTCAAGAATCAAAAGCCCTACAAGAAAACGCTCTCCATTTCATTATCTCACACATAGTACCACTCCCGCCCCCACCCACCCCACAAATTCTTCCTTTTCCTTTCTTTCCTCCTACTGACATTCGTTCTCTTATCAAAGACATTCTAAAAAATCTCACTAAAACCCTTTTCTTCAACCCAACACTTTCTTTCCACTCACTATGTCCTCATCTCTTTGAAACCCTTACCAACTAGTCCTTTTAAAATCCCGCCACTTCACTCCACTTCTAATCTAATCAACCTCCTCATCAAAAACCTCTCCACATATTGAACACTCATATCTTCTTTCCCCATCTATTC